AAAAAAATATCCCACCATTTAAAAAAAAATAAATAATATCCCACCATTAACATTAAATTTACATAATTGTTACGTTTGAAATTGGTGGATTCATAGAATCATCATAAGATTTTTCACCAGTCTTTTTAGTATAAGCAATCAATTTATCAACATGATAATAAGCGTATTCACCTAATTCAGTTTCATCAAGACCCTTAGCCTCCGATTCCGGATCAGTACGAATTGAAAGTCCAGGAATTTTATCCATAATCCATAATATAGCAAAAGTCATAAGAAAAGAGTATAAAGTACCAGCCACCGAATCAGCAAATTGATAAGCAATTTGAATCCAATTTCTGCTTATCCAACCACCATCACCACCAGTAACATCTACCATTTGAATAATAGATTTAGAAGCAAAAATACCAGTAAGGATATTACCAGTAAAACCTCCAACGGCATGTACAGCAAATACATCCAAAGCATCATCATAATTAAAAACATGTTTAAGTCTAACAGCCAAATTACAAAGACAACCACCAAGAAAACCAAAAGCAATAGCAGAAGGGTAATCAATATAACCAGCACCAGGAGTAACACATACTAAACCAGCCACAGCACCTGAACAAAAACCAAGAGCCGAAAGTTTTTTTTCTAAACGAAAATCTAAAAAACACCAAGTAAGACCACCAACAGAAGCGGATAAATTTGTAACTATACAAGCCATAGCAGCACGACCATTAGCAGCCAAAGCCGAACCACCATTAAAACCAAACCAACCAAACCAAAGGAAAGCGGTACCAAGAACAACATTAGCAACATTATGAGGTTTAAATTCATCAGTTCCATGACCATGACGTTTACCAAGAACCAAAGCATAAGCAAGAGCAGCAGCACCGGAAGCAATATGAACAGGGGTACCACCAGCATAATCTAAAACACCTAATCTAGCAGCCCAACCATCAGGATTCCAAGTCCAACAAGCAATTACATCATAAACTAAAGTAGTCCAAATAAAGATAAAAATGATCGTAGGAACAATACGAGCACGTTCAGCAGCGGCACCGATGGCAAGAGCAGGAGTGACGGCAGCAAACATACATTGATAAATGGCATATACATCACTAGGTATAGTAGTGACACCCATAGAAATAGTTCGATTATCTACATTTATCATGAATGCATGTTCAAGGTTTCCAATGAAATGATTTGAAGTATTTCCAAAAGTCAAACTAAAACCAAGTAGCCACCACTATTATAACAAAATTAAATTAAATTAAAAAAATATTTTTCAACGATATATATGTTTCGACAATATATGTTTAACAATACTGTATATATTTTTTCAACAATATATTTTTTCAACAATATATATGTTTCATCAATATATGGTTAACAATATATGTTTCGAGAATAAATACC